GGTAGAGCTGATCAATACTGATTGTTTAATTAATTTGAATATCCCCAACTGAGCAAGCCAAAGGCAAAAGTGGCAATTAGTTTTGGATTGGTCTATTTTTAGACTTTGTATCTGAAAAAATGCTGTTTTTAATACCAGCATGACTGGCACGATTCAGTTTACAGCACTTCTCATTAATTTCTATGGTATCCACACACAGTTGACTGTGCACATATTTTAAGATGTGTTAGTGCAAGTGGGATTAGACTTAATGCCTTGTCTGTGAAACCAGGGGATTGTGATTGATGCCCATTGATTACCAAATTTAAGCCCCTGAGGAAGTGAATACTTTTTTTTTTTTTACTCTCACATTGTGCATTAAAAATGATCCCTAACATTTAAAAAATGTTATAGTTATTTCATAAAACCATATCAGACAGAATGATCTGACACAAAATCAGATAGACCAACTGACATGCGACAAACAAATAAATCAACCGCCCAAACGCATACAGATACACAGAGGCTCTTTCTGATGAGAGTACAGACAAGGTGGCGTGACCTTTGACAGACATACAAACAACAGGTGGAGAACGTTCCACTCACTCTTTGATTTTCTGTGTGAGAGGCTGGATAGTCTCCGCAATGCAGTGAGGCGTTCGGTAGTTCTCTCCCTCCTTCTTCAGATAGTCATAGTCCACCAGCGCCCAGTCTCTCAGGGTGAGAGGAACCCCTGTACCGTCACCATACATCGTTACCTGAAAACCACACGCACAACTGTCCTCAAATCTGGTCACATGACAGTTTAAAGCGCAATGCGAGCTATTCCGGCACTATGCTTTACATCTGATTCTCTAAAATTGTCTCTTCAGTTTCAATATTAAGTGTTTCTCTTGCTTCTAAATGGTGAATTCTGGTGCCCACAACCAGAAGCCACAAGCCCGTCAAAACTAAAACGAGAAAAGGAAGTGCTCAGTCATCACATTTTGACATCTCAGTTGCTTTTATAGGCGTGTTGAGTTTTGGCTTTAGAAGAGTGTAGTTCTTCCTCTTGACTGTGATTCTCACACAGGGTGTTATATTCAGCCAGGTCAGCATGTGTTGCCAACATTTTGTTTACTGGCATAAACTCAAAAAAGCCCACTTAGACAGGAATATACCATGTGACGGACATGTAGAATAAGCAAACAGTTTTTTTGGGCGTGTTGTATAGTCACGAACCCATCTTAAATGTAATATATTTAAACATATTTTTGATGCTGACGACCCGCAAATATGACGATCTCTTTGCGAATGACCCCAGACGTTACAGACAGGTTATAACCAGAACTGACAGATTTCAGATTTGCTTTTTTTTTTTCGGTAGCTATACAGATTTTGAATACCATCGACACTCATGTTATTTTGATTTTCTCTTAAGTGCACTATTATTATCTTTAATCATTTTTGTAGTGTAATGCAGTGCTGGTATGGCACGTCTCATACCAGTGACAATGATCCACTTGTTGGGTTTTGAATACGAAAAAGAAAACGAAGATTATTTATATCGGTTTTACCTCTTGTAACCACAGCCACGTCCAAGTGATCTGAGGGCGCGGGCACTTTGTGGCTGTGGTTACAAGAGGTAAAAACGATATAAATACTCTTCGTTTTCTCGCACAAACCGCTCGTTTCGTGTCTTAGGCCATCAATGTGTACATTTACGAGTCATTAAATCATGTTTAATTTGGACTTCTCTGTGCATGCTCTTTGAGGTGGTGACCATAGACCTCCATTATATGACTGACAGACAAAAATAGTTTGATAAGACCCTTGTTCATCGTCTGGAATCGTTTAAAGCCCTTTGAAGCTGCAAAGAAACTCTCATTTGGACCTTGAACCGTTTGGTTCCCATTGAAGTCCATTATATGGAGAAAATCCTGGAATGTTTTCATCAAAAACCTTAATTTCTTTTCGACTGAAGAAAGAAAGATATGGACATCTTGGATGACATGGGGGTGAGTAAATTATCAGCAAAAGTTTTTTTTAAAAACTCCTCTTATAAGTGGATGACATAGTGGTGAGTAAATTTTCAGCAACAGTATTTTTAAAAGTGAACTACTCCTTTAAGTGGCACTTTGATATGTCTCCTCTTATAAGTGTCTTTACCTCATTGTTAAAAGTCACCAGTGCCAGTCTTCGATGAGGTGAGGTTTTCTGCAGGGTGGACAGCACCATCTGAAGAGCTTCTTGGACTCCCTGGACCCCAAAAAATAGTAAATTCACATGTTTCGGGTCAGTTCATATAAGCAAAACTTCAGAAGTCACCGCTCACCTGCAGTCGTGAAATATATGTGGGTGATCGCATGCTGTTACCTGGAGAGATCTGAGAGAAAAATATATCTAATGTAAACATAATCATTTTAAAAAAGGGTGTTTAAGCCCTGGCCGTGTGTAATGAAAGACGACAGGCACCTCAGAAGTGACACTCATACTTCCGGAAGTGTCCACGCACAGCACAATCAGCATGTCGTCTAGATTCTCATACTCCATATCCCCGTTGTCGTCCATGTAAAGTATATCCCTGCCTGGAGGAGAGCGCAAGGGAAACCGTCCCGCCGTTAGTGCCGCCAGCGAATAAACGTTCTCCTTCCCGCAAAACTCACATCTCCAAATCTAGAAAAAAAGACAGGAATCACTTTTAACAAAAGAAAATGTTATTTCAACAGATGCACAAATGGGTTTTGCACCCCTTGGTATAACTTACTATTGTTGTTTGGTGTGTCTCAGGGCTGCTTGCAGAGGACATGACGGCACTGCATTTCCCACAATGCACTGGTTTCTGGGTGCTCTGTATAGCAGATGCTATGGACACAGAGAGTAAGCTGGTTTGAAATGAAAATTTTGGATTTTTATACTTTCAGAAAAGTAGTTTAGCAGGGTAGCACACCTTTAGTAATGTCCACAAGGCTTCCTACTTTTAGCGACACTACGTTTACATTCGCTTTAAGTTGAGTCTCTCCATTATTCTCCAGACCTGAGAGAAAAGAGAAGGGGTAGAGGCAAAATATATCAAGTTTTGCAAGTTTGGCCCCACCCCTGTTGAAAAAAAATCAACTCACGGACCCTGTTTATTAAAAAGTTCAAGTTATTTATGGACAACTGAACATTGTATGCGCATGTTTGTGGTATAAAGGGTGTGTGAATGTGTTCTCACCTCTTGGTGGCACGGGTGGTGGAAGAGAGCTAGTCAGACTCTTTCCATGCTGTATGTTACGGGGCGGCACAGGTGGTGGAACCAACGATGGAGCTTGAAAAAAAAGTAATTAATTAATAAATAATAAAAAATATATTTTCATAGACAAATAAAAAGTTTTTTAATTAATCAAAGATTTTATTTTTTAAATCACAGAGCAGCACGACTGTTAATATTAATAATAAATGTTTTTTGAGCAGCAAATCAGCATATCAGAATGATTTCAGAAGGATCATGTGACACTGAAGACTGGAGTAATGATGCGGAAAATTCAGCTTTGATCACAGGAATAAATAACATTTTAAAAATATAAGTATAAAAAATATAAAAATATATAAAATTTAATAAATATATAACAGCAGGTATTTTTTAGCACACATTCATCAACATGCACTTGAGCATGTTCCTATCATCAGTTTTTAACACCCACAAAAAGGATGTGATGTGATGGTTTTTTTCCATTGAACTATTTCTTTGCAAAGTAACTTTCACCTTCTATTGAATTGAAAGCGTGGTTTCACTACACATTATTGTCTTTTAAGAGCTGCAGAATTGAATTCTGTTTGCAGCATTGAATCATTATTTTCCTGTTTATCATTGTAAAGCTGTTTTGAAACATTCTGCATTGTATAAAGCGCCAAAGGTGACTCAATCAAATAAAGTTAAATTAAATAAATCAGTAAATTCTGCTGTTCTAGTAACATTAAAACAGTAAAGGTAGGATAGGCAATTTCTTTATAAACATTTTTGTTATACTGGTCGAAACTCTCTTCACAGTCTGATAACAGTTCACTTTTGCTGATAATTTACTCACCCCCATGTCATCCAAGATGTCCATGTCTTTCTTTCTTCAGTCGAAAAGAAATTAAGATTTTTGATGAAAACATTCCAGGATTTTTCTCCATATAATGGACTTCAATGGGAACCAAGTTTTATAAGCTTAAATGGTCGACTTGCTGTTCTGTAATGCGCATTCGTGACTCTCCTGTTCGAACTCGTTCATCAAAATGAACAAATCATTTACTGAGTCAATTCGTTCGTTTCGTTCGTTGAATGAACCAAATGACTCGGAAAAAGATTTGTTAATTTTGATAAACAAGTTCGAACAGAACAGAGCAAGGCGACCATTTGAGCTTATAAAATTTAAACTTTTTTTATTTTTTTAAATGAGCAATCGTTTCGCTTGATAAGACCCTTATTCTTCGTCTGGAATCGTTTAAAGCCCTTTGAACAGTTTGCAGTTTGCACTGAAACCGTCTTTTGGACCTTGAACCGTTTGGTTCCCATTGAAGTCCATTATATGGAGAAAAATCCTGGAATGTTTTCATCAAAAACCTTAATTTCTTTTCGACTGAAGAAAGAAAGACATGGACATCTTGGATTACATGGCGGTGAGTAAATTATCAGCAAAAGTTTTTTTTTTTTAAAGTGAACCACTCCTTTAACACTATCAACGCCGCAGTCAGGTGGTACAACTAGATCTCTATAAGTTGTTTACGCTCATTATTCACATAATGTTGTGTGCTTTGAGACATGGGGTAGTTTAACGCCGTCTCTCGTGACATTTTGCAGACTCTGCTGTGTTTTGAAGGAGGTGTGGCTTTGGAGATGCTCTGAAGAGAGAGTGGTATCTTTTCAAAGCTAACTTGCTATTGCTAGCCTCTCCAAAATTACCTACACTACCTTTAAAAAAAGAAAACTCACTCCTCATTTCAAGAAGGCTCACAAATACAGAGATAATACAAGCTTCTTAGGGCCAATCTTCATAAAGCCATGAAACATTGTGTCATTTACTCACCTGGTTTCGGGGTGAAGGTTACACGGTTGTCGTAAGGATGATCTGAGACAGAATGCGCTCGAGACAGACCACAGGGAAGAGTGGAGGTAATACCTACAAAACATGAGCAATCATGTGGGACAGATGGAGTTATAGACTGACTGACTATGTGTGCAATAAAATATAACAGTACCCTACTACACTATATGGGGCAAGTTGTCACAATTAGACCATGCCTATTTTTAAACACTATTCAATGTTGCTTCAGTAAAACAATTATCAAACACAAAACAATTAAATAGCAATACTTAAAAGGCAACATGTCATTCAATAATATTAAACCAACAAACACTTAAGCACAAACCTGACAATGAATGCAACATAAAAAAAACATAGCTAGAGAAAGCTTTGTTACTAAGATGACAACTCCCCCTTGATCAGAATTATCTGATTAGTCTCTCATCAGAATTATCGGAACTCTCTAATAATAAATGTTTGCATCACATACACAGAATATGACTAACCTTGATTTGAGATTTTAGCTTCCTCTTCTGTTAAACTCTCAGACCTCCAGTTACACACAACGTGACTGCAAGCAAACTCCATCTCTGTTGGTGACAGGGAAGTGCTTAAATTATACTTACGTCAAGGTCTATTCTTTACAGTAAAGTTAAAATAGAACCCATTACAGCAACACACCTTAAAACAACAACTTCAGAATTCCCTTGTTCACGTTGTGCACACAGATAATGTGTTTCTATGCAGTTTAAAGGCTCTAGTTCTTTTCTAAGACTTTCATTTCCTGCTAAAATGGTTCACTTAGTACTTTGATCTCAGTTGCTTAAGGCAGTAACACCTGTGCTAAACACTGTGGTTAAAATTATCTATAAAATCACCCGTATTTATCATTTAAAGGGATAGTTCACCTAAAAATGAAAATGTCGTCATCATTTACTCACCCTCAAGTTCTTCTAAAACTGTATGAATTTCTTTCTCTCTTACGCACACAAAATAATACAATTTGAAGAATGTAGGTAACCAAACAGTTGATGGACCCCATTGACTCCATAGTAAAAATAAATCAAGCTATGGAAGTCAATTAATTATTGGGTCCATGACGTAATTTTTATTTACGAGTAGCCTATGTGGTGATACTTTTATCCATCACCGTCTCCTTTATTTTTTTCTGTTCCTTGCAAGAGTCTGCAGAAACCAACCCTTGTCTCATATCATATTATAGCCATATAAGATGTACAAACATGTCAAAATGACCGAGGTATTGAAAACTACTGGTCACACATGGTAATATACAGCATGACAGAAATAGTCTACTAATCGCGAGGGCTTAGTATGAAAGTGCCTACCTCGTTACGGCAATTTAAAATGAAGTGTCCGACTGGCATTCAGCTTGCATTGAAAGCCAGCAACACTACGGTCCTGCTCTTCACACACATACCTACTGTGCACGACAAGATACAGGAAGTCAGGAAACTGTGGGTAGCTAAGACTAGAAAAAGAAAAGAAACGAAAGAAATGAAGGAACGAAAGAAGTCGCCCGCCTCAGATGTCTTAAAGTGTATTCTTCACCAACATAGACTTTGACTCGTATGTCAGACTTACATTATAAAGAAAATGCAGGCATTAAACAGTAACAGCAGTGCAGTGTGATTCTTGCTTTCTTGATTCAGTTTATTGTAAAAAATACCTCATCACACTTACGTCACACCATATCAAGGCTCAATACGGGATTGTCAAGTTCCTTCCGTTGACGTGTGAACCTTGTTTTATGCAGTATGAACAACATTAAGTTGTGTGGGTATTGTGAGCACGCAATACTTATCATGTTGGGGGAATAGACATCACAATATCCACCACTGATGCATAAGGTTTCCTCTATGTATTTCTTTTATTTTATTTATTTATTATATATATATATATATATGTGTGTGTGTGTGTGTGTGTGTGTGTGTGTGTGAAGCTTTATATATACTTGATATAACATGTCTGAGTTCTATGTGTTCTGTGCTTTATACCTGCTTGTTATTTAATACATATTCAATAAAAAAAAATAATAACAAAAAAAAAAATAACAAAAGCCAAAAAAAAAAAAAGACATAACAATATGCATTATCATCATATAAAACTAGTTCACTTCACCCTCAACGTGATTACCTAAAAGATTTTTCTGAGAAATGTTTTTTTAATGTTCCACAGAGAAAGAGTCATGCAGGTTTCAAATGACATGAAGGTGAATAAATAAAATATTAAAAAAAAAATAAATAAATAAAAAATTTGGTTGAGAAAACTATACCTTTTATAACATCTGATTATTCAAAATGATGTCATCACAAACTACAAAATACAACATTTTTTAATGTTTTTATTAGTTAAACGTATTCATTTCACAAATTCATAATTAATACTGCATTTGAAATTACGTTGTTACAACATTTAGTGTTAAATCTGACCCTTTAATGAGGCTAATTTTGGAATTAAAACTAAACTTATTAATCCCTATTAATTTATTAAAAGCGTATTAATTTTAATAAATAAAATTATTAATTACAAAATAAGTAAAAAGCTTATTAATTTAAAAACAACAGTTTTTAAAAAAGCCCTCCAACTTTTACAATGTTTGGTCTCAGTCACTATTATTGTTTCATTAATGGTAGTGTATTGATGGATTATTTATTCAGTATTTCCACCATTTTCATTAAAACTGAAGAGTGTAAATTCTGCTGAGCTAGTGGCACTAAACTGCATTACAAAAAAAGACCATTTTAAACAGGTTTCAGATGCACACAATTGATTGAGCCAGTATTTCTATGTTCATCAAAAACATTTGAATGCTGAAAATACAGCAGAGCCACAGTTTTACACTCTTCAGGAGTGTGTCAACTTATATCACATTTAACCGGGATCAGAGAAAGTATTTCAACGGTTTTCAAATCATTCACATCTTTGAAGATCTGCACAAATCGATGTTAGCAAACCTTTGTGTTTTTTTACAAGCCTTTTGCTTTACTGTTCCCTAAAGTGCCCCTATTATGCTTTTTCTAAAATTACCAAACTACTTTTGACCCTCAAAAACTTTAGTTGTAGCTGAGGCCTGAAAGAGTTTGGTTCATGTTGTCGAAATGTTGAAAAGATTATGTTTTCAGTGTAGCAAATCCACTTTGATGAACCTAGAGAGACTAAATCTTAAATTCAAAGGAACCGGTTTCAAAATATGGAGATGTGAAATATATAATAGAATGATAATTTTCTTATTTTTTTTACCTTGCATGCATGTAAACACTATTGTAGGAGACATCCAAAATACAAATATGAACCTTTAAAATGGCATAATAGAGGCACTTTGAGAATCTGCATATTGTTAACTCTCCACCTTCAAAGAATGGAGTATGGCCCTCAGTATGGCAGCTACCGCCACGGCCCCCGGGTCAGGCTGGGTCAAATGCTCAGACGCAACGTAACTGGCACGTCCAGCCCTTGCAGTGAGACTGCGTGTAGATTCGGCTCCCACATCTGCTTTCTGTTACAGATAGATATGTAAGAGACTAATATCATAGATGCAAGAAATTATGAGAAAGCAAAAAATTGCCATTTAAAGTGTTAGTCCATACCTCCACTGCTGCTTGTAGTATCGCCATGTGACCATCGGGAGGTGCTGTGGAAAGTTTCATCAACTCCTCCACAGCAGGGCATAGGGCATCAAGCTAAAAGTTAACACAGAGGGTCAGCTTCGTCAATCATTTGCAGGTATTGAAAGATTTGATTTAATAAAACGTTAAGACTTGCAGGTTAATTAATGCCCAAGCAGATTAATCATTGATACATGGATATAAATGGTCAGTAGTGTTTGCCAATAGCCTACACATATTTATCCAAAATACTGATCATCTACATTCAGTAAACTATTCAGGTAAACAGGGAACTACACTTATATTCAAAAAGTACGTAAAAGTTGCACTTTTAATCAGCAAGCATGCATTAAATTGGTCAAAAGTCAGAGTAAAGACATTTATAATGTTAAAAAAGTTCAAAATAAATATCAGTTTCCACAAATATATTATTATTATCAATGTTGGAAACAGTTGTGCTGCTTAATAAGAATATTTTTTGAACACCAAATCTCAAATTTCAAACACCTGAAGGATCATGAGACTGGATAAATGATGCTGAAAATTCAGCTTTGACTTTTTTTAAATCACAAAAAAAACAAAAAAAAACAAACAAACGTATTTTTGGTCAAACAAGGGCAGCCTTAGTGAGCAGAAGAGACTTTAACACGTAAAAAATCTTCAGATTGATTTTTTTTTACCTCAAACTTTTGAACGGTAGTATAATTCATGCATATGTTAACTAATACGCTTTTACTATTTTCTAATTAAAGAATAGAGATGTCCAATTTGTGTGCAACAATGGCTAAAACTAGAATATTCCTGTGTCAATCATACCATGGTCCGATCACCTGGTTCAGCACCTCCATATCTGTCGGAAAAAAAACAAGGAATAAATTTGCAATAAAATGACACACATCTTTATACTTTGTAAATTTGGCAACGTGTATTTTCGAATATACTGAGAATACTAAAGTATGAGGGAAAACAACTGAGAATGAGTTCATTTAATATTGGTTTCCCTGACAGTGAACGGTGAAGTACAACATCTACCTAAATCAACATCTTTGTTGATTCTGGAACATCTTTCCAATCAACCAATCAGATTTAAGGGACAAATTTACAGATAATGTCACATTTAGGGTTACAACCAGTGTTAGGTGCTTCTACAACAATGTTATTCACCATCATTTTAGGGATAACTTATAGGTATAGAGTTAGGTTTAGAAGAAATGTTGACAGAAATGTTGTTCCAAGAACACACCTGACTTGGCAAAAAAAAAAAAATCACTCACCTTTTCATGGCCTCGGTCCCAGCATGCAATGCCTTGGCCCAAGCAGCACCATCACTGTTTTGTTTGAGATGAGGGGCGGCCGCAGACAAAAACAAGCAATATAACTGTGGAGAAAAAGATAACGGATCATTTGATGATTTCATGAGAACGATATTTAGGGTGTGTTCACACTTGGCATGTTTGGTTCGATTTAAACAAACCCTGGTGCGATTGCTCTGTTAGTGTGGTTCATTTGAAAAAATGTGAACGTTGCTCTCTGAACCCTGTTGCCAGCAAACAAGCGGGCCGAGACGCTGGAAATATGGGTCTCGGTCCACTTCAAATCAAACTCTGATTCGGTTTGAATGAAAAATGGGCCAAAGACATAAACGAACCAAAAACAGGACATGATGTCACAAGATGAGACCCTAAAAGAACAGAATGGTTCTTCTCCATTACAGAAATCCCGTCTCCTTGCAGTAGATCTTCATTTAATGCAATAGAAGAATTCCTGCTGTTAATTTTGTCTCTTCGCGAGTTCTCAGCTGCTCAAAATACCACCATATTTAGTCTTCACACATATAATGACCGTGTTTAGCCCAGCACAGCATTGCTTTGGATGTTTGGTAAGTTCTGTCACAGAATATACGCCATAAAAACATTTTTTTTGTTTTGTATGTTTAGGTTCAGTGTTAAAAAAAGACAGTGTGAACGCTAGGACTAAATGTATACACTGGTACAGAGCAGACAAACAAACCAAGAGAGCCGCACTACAAGTGTGAACACACCCTTAAAGGGATACTCCACTTTTTTTGGAAATACGCTCATTTTACAACTCCCCCAGAGTTAAACTGTTGAGTTTAACTTTTTTGAATCCATTCAGCCGATCTCCGGTTCTGTCTGTACCACTTTTAGCATAGCTTAGCATACATCATTGAAGTGCACAAGACCATTAGCATTTGTCCCAAAGTGTTTCGATATTTTTCCTATTTAAAACTTGACTCTTCTATCGTGCACTAAGACAGACGGAAAATGTAAATTTGCGATTTTCTAGGCTGATATGACTAGGAACTATACTCTCATTCCTGCGTAATAATCAGGAAACTTCAATGCCGTACCATGAGTGCAGCAGGCGCGATCATACATATCTATGTAAAGGCTAGATACGTCGTCTACGCTGCTGGCCAATGGAGGTCGACGTCTGCGCCTGGCGGCCATCTTGTCACAGGCAGCTCGCTCACTCGTAACATTGTGTTAATGGTACATGTGCTATTTAAATAACCATAACTTGCTCAATTTTCTACCGATTTTCAAACGGTTTGTTTTGTTATAAACGTCTGAGATGTAGTTATGACACTGCATACTTATGAATAAAAAGTGTATAAAAATAAATAATCATCCAGATAATTATAGCCACGTTAATAACGTTTGTAAGAAACCAAACCGTTTGTAAATCCGTCAAGATTTCAACGAGATAAGAGTATTTGTGTTCGTGCGGACCACTCATCTTACATCAGCTTGTCTGTGACAAGATGGCCGCCGGTGATGACGATGGAAACACCGCCGTAACACATCTAGCCTTTATATACATATCTATGGGCGCGATGACTACACAAACTTAGTCCCGGTCACGTTGGAAGCTGGGGACTATTTTCAGGCGCTGCGTCATAACATCGTGCCTGCTGCACTCATGGTACGGCATTGGTGTTTCCTGATTATTACGCAGGAATGAGAGTATAGTTCCTAGTCATATCAGCCTACATTAACATTTTCCGTCTGTCTTAGCGCACGATGTACGTAACTATAGAAGAGTCAAGTTTTAAATAGGAAAAATATCGAAACACTTTGGTAATTTTTTTAGAACAAATGCTACTGGTCTGGTGCACTTCAATGATGTATGCTAAGCTATGCTAAAAGTGGTGCCGCCAGAATTGGAGATCGGCTGAATGGATTCAAAAACGGTAAAACTCAACAGTTTAACTCTGGGGGAGTTGTAAAATGAGCCTATTTCCCCAAAAAAAGTGGAGTATCCCTTTAAGGCCTAATCACACCAAGGACGATAACTATAATGATACAGTTCTAAAATCATTCTACATATTAAAAATAGCAGAGTTCACACCACAACTATAATGATAACGGGAGAAAGGAATGATATCATTGGAATCACTTTAATAAAAATAAATTCCAGCTGATGAACGATAAAAACATTGACAGCCAATCAGAATACAGCAGACTTTTAAGAGCTGGAGCATTTGAAGCAGCAGATGATTGCAGTGCGCGCTTCGAATAAACAGAACAATATCAACACATCCACATACCGCCCCTGATGATCCTCCCATCCTTTCCTGGACCAGCAGACCCAGATCTTCTAGAAGCTGGCCAAGGTTTCCAGGGATCCTGCTGGTCTGGAGCCACTCCTGAATGGCTGAAGTAGACCACATTGTGAAGGCAAGTGAAACATTTTACGGTAACACTTTACAATACGGGTGCACAAATATGCATTAATTCATCCTTAACTAATGCACAGATAATCATGAGTTAATGTATAACTCATGAAGAACTAAACCATTAATTAATGATTACTGCATCAGCAACTAATAAAGAGTCTATATGATTAATAGATTAAGTAATACATGAATTGCTATTAATTCAATGTGTCATTGTGTATTAATTCCTTAATAGTGTAAATTAATGTGTTAATTGTCACAATTAGTCACAAAAAGTTATGCACTTCAACTTCCAGTTGTCTGCTTTAATTAATCATTAGCTAATGATTTGCAAAAGTATCATTATGTTATGACTTTACTTGTTGGGGCACATCATTATTAACTAGTCATTTAGTACTTTGCACATGAATTTGCACTAACAATGAAGTAATTAATGATGTATTAATGCATATTAGTGTACCTGTCATATTATCTGGAAGTTGAAATACAAGGCGTTGGCTCATTCTGGTAATTAACATATTAATTAACACTATTAGTTAAAAAAATGAGTTATTATGCAATTAATCCACAATTACATTTTTAATTAATAACAATTCATGTATGAACTAATACATTAACCTTACAAACTCTTAATTATTTCCTAATGTGTTAATCATTAATGAATAGCTTAAATAATCATTAGTTACACATTAATTCAGTATTATCTGTGCATGCTTATTAGTGCACACGTATTGTAAAGTGTTACCCATTTTACTAACATTATATATATATATGAACACAAAATTAAGCAATATGTTGGTTTAAATAATATGTGTGCACTGTTTAAATGTGGATAAAGTTTTACCATTGGCTAAAAGAGCATGTGTGCTCCCACAATCTCCATCCCCTGCTGCGCGGTCCAAAGCATTGAGTTCCTCTCGGCGCTGCAGGAGGATCTTACACACGGACTCCAAAACCCGGCGAATGACGGAAGAAAGCGAGCCTGTGAAGCAGCACCAATGTGTCGATGAAGTGCTTCAGGTGTTTCAGTTAATATACAATCCTGTTCAAGTAAGATTTTTCAAATACGTTCAGCAGAGATGCATTAAATTGTTACAAAAGATTTCTATTTCACTGCAGTTCTTTTGAACTTTCTGTTCATTAAAGGGATAATTCACTTTGAAATTAATTTTTGATATGTTTTAGCTTACCTCAAGGGCATTCAAGATGTAGGTGTCTTTGTTTCCACAGTATTTTCAATTTTGATATTTTTAGGTCAAACCGTTCGTGTCTATAGTCATATAATGGAGGTCTATGGTCACCACCTCAAAGAGCATGCACAGAGAAGTCCAAATTAAACATGATTTAATGACTCATAAATGTAAGTACACATTGATGGCCTAAGACAGTCATCATATATGTGATGTATACATCATAAAACATCATTATATGACTGACAGACAAGAACGGTTTGACCTAAAAATATCAAAATTGAAAATAATGTGGAAACAAAAACACCTACATCTTGGATGCCCTTGAGGTAAGCTAAAACATACCAAAAATGAATTTCAAAGTTGAATTATCCCTTTAAAGAATTCTGATTTACCTTTACCATCATAGGAATAAATTACAGTTTAAAATATTAAAATAGAAAACAGCTACTTTATTTCTAATATTTCACAATATTACTGTTTTTAGTGTATTTTTTTTTAAATAAATCCAGCCTTGGTAAAAATAAGAGGCACCAACGACGACAATGATAAAGACATAGCTCTAAATATATAAGAATAGCAGAGTCCACACCACAACTATAACGATAACGGCTGAGAGGAATGATAATCACTTTCAGAACAATTTCTTTTTCAGCTAATAAGCGATAAAAACATTGACAGCCAATCCGAATCCATCCTGCTTTTCAGAGCTCGAGCAATTAAAGCGGCAGACGACAAAAATGCAGCACAGTTATAATAAACAGATTGACATTGTCTGCTGTTGTAGACGCTAATATAGTTTATAGTTTTATAGGCCTAAGACTTACACTAAGACTTACACTGGCCCCAAGATTTTAAACAGTTGTGCATTTATATTACTTTATTAGTAGTAAAATATTTACCCATGCCAATTATTTATTATAAAGAATTTATGTATAGTATTAGTTTAATAATTACACTAAAAATAACAAAGAAACTGAGGCATATATAACTGACATTTGAAAAATGTAAATTTTGCACTCTTCTCTACCTTCATGATATTGATCTGAAGCTGCGGCAGGTTTTTCTGCAGGTTCAATGAACAGGTTCCTCCCGCTCACAGAGGTCGTGCTGAGGTTAGGCCAGGCCGGGGCGGTGGTTTTAGCATCTGAGAAAGACAAATCAGTGACACTTCCCATACACTGCACTATATACTAATATATATATATATATATATATATATATAAGACAATCTCCTGAACTCCAGACTGACTGTCAGAATGGGAAAGAAAGGTGATTTAAGAACAATTTTGAGCGTGGCATGGTTGTTGGTGCCAGACGGGCCGGTCTGAGTATTTCACAATCTGCTCAGTTACTGGGATTTTCACGCACAACCATTTCTAGGGTATACATTTATAGACCCTACATTTATTTACATTACATTTATTTCTAGGGTCTAGGGTTTATAAGCAACTGTCATGTGATTGGTTGATTAGATAATTGCATTAATGAGAAATTGAACAGGTGCTCCTAATAATCCTTTAGGTGAATGTATATATTTATATAGAGAGTAAATTCTCTACACCTGCATTCATTTCAGAGTATACTACTGGTAATTTTAACATCTTAAAGATGCTGTGTGTAGTGAAACTTTGTTCATGTGTTTAAAGAGTAACTAAACACTAAACCAACTTTTTTTAGTTAATGATCTGTAAGAATGAATCTTTATTAATACCAGTCATTGATTTAAGTAACTTTTTTGACATTTGTTTATAAAGTGTTTTATTTCTACAATATATGGTGTAAAAAAACGCCTTAGTGCTGCCCTCTTCAGGTTGAATGGTGGCTACTGCAGTTGAATTTTCCAATTGGATGTTCTGCACTTCGTGATGTACGCAGGTTTCAGCTCACCACGCGAGCTACGCCCTTGGCAGTATAAAAAACATCTTGTGTCGTCAAAACCACTGTAGCGAGTCAGGAGTTGGAATTGCGAGTATTGAAAACGATCAGGATAGAGTGTTTTAGCATCTATTTCGTCCCCTCTATCTCCGCTGGGGTCAGCCCACTTTTTCAGCATTTTCAAATATTGCCAGTGGGTGGAGTCAGGCTCTGACCAGGGGTTTAGTTACCCTTTAATATACATTTCAGCTCTGTCATATTAACTCTTTTTCTGAACCAATGATTTCAATGTCATCCAGGTGAAGCAAAACTGGATTTAAAGCGAACGCACCAAACAGTCGGAGCATCTCTTCATCAACCTTCATTAAAGAAAGAGACAATCCCGCCATCTCCAGTGATGTCATGAACGATCCGGACATCACCCTGACAACCAGCACACCACGCTCCTCTGAAAAGGAGAATCGAATCAGAAACAGAATTTACAAATAGTATAATGAAATGCAAATATTAGGATACAACAAGATCAAATATTCAGTTCTATATTATTTTGTAATGTTTTAATCTAGCGTTGTGCTACTTGAGTCTCACCTAGGCAGTGTGCAGCTGCTTTGCAAACCACAGCTATTTCCAAACATGAAAGAGCACCAAGATTATTCACACACAGCACCACCTTGTCTTCTGTTAGACAAATACATTTTTGAATACACATTCATGTAAATGCACAGCCTCAGAATCAACCCTGTGCTGACCAGTTACACATCATACCTGACTTCAGGGACAGATGCGATTTGTTTGAGGAATCAGTCATGTGACTTATTACAGTTTGCACAACTTCATCGGCAGAGGCCACCTGAAATAAATCAAAACCATCAATCTCAATACTCTTTATTGTAGGATTGAATGAACGGCAGTTTGAAAAGACTCACTTTTGATCTCTTAATACCTGGTTCTCCATGGATCCCTATACAAATAAATATAGTGTACATTTTAATATGTAAATATAGTATATAAACACTACTGTTAAACGTTTGGAATAAGTAAAATTTAAAAAAAAGGAACACCACATGAAGTTGATCAGCAAAAGACATTTATAATTTCTTTTTAAAATAAGAAGTTTTTTTGCTGTTCTATTTATTAAGAGTCATGAAAAAAATGTCTCGCGTTAAGCAGCATCTGTTTTCAACATTGATAATAATAATAAATGTTTCTTGAGCAGGAATGATCATGTAACACTGAAGACATGCTGAAAATTCAGCTTTAAATCACAGGAATAAATGACTTTTTAAAATAATATATTCATATAAAAAATTATTTTAAATTCAATAAAAAAATGCTTAATATTGCAGTTTCAACTGAAATTTTGTTTAAATAAATGAGTGTATATACAAATATAATATATATTTCTGTCAAATCGATTAATCTTATCTAACAAAGGTTTGTGAAATATATATATTAGGGCTGTGCAAAGATTAATCGCATATGCCATTTCCCTTTTAAATAGTTGAATTAGCACTATTCGGACTATTTTATTATTATTATTTTTTATTATTATTATTATATATTTTTATTTTTTTATTATTATTTTTATTTTTTTTATAGTTTGACATCTTTGTGTGAGTTTGTGTGTAACTGATGGCCATATCAAATTCCTGTGTATCTGCTGATGCATTTGGCGAATAAAGTGATTCTTGATCTTGATGTGTTTACATATTTGTGTGTGCTTCGTATAATTATTTTGTGTGTATATATATATATATATACATATATATATATATACATACACATGCATGTATATATTTAAGAATTGCACCTAAATACTGTATATATAGAAATACATAAATACTGTATATATATAGAAATACACAATCTATCTTATATATCAATATTTTGAATATAAATTTTCTTACATACTTTTCTTAAATATATACATGCATGCATGTGTATTTCTATATACAAAATAATTATACACAGCACACACATAAATAATATGTAAAAAATTTTATTTTGGATGATGAATCAATTTGACAGAACTATATATATATATATATATATATATATATATATATATAACTGCTGTCAAATCGATTAATTGTAATTAAAAATGCACATAAACACTATATACACATATTTACTGCTACATAAAATAATTAATTTTTAAATAATTTCTAATCTTTATTCTTTTTGTTATAGATCTCTCTTACCCAGTCCTAACTCCATCTCTCCTGGTGGAAGCTGGAAAGATGGAAGGCATCCGGGAACACTGCATGGAGACAGACTAACGCCCAATGTCCCTGATAAAACAACAATATATATGATGCCAGTGTGTGTGTGTGTATATATATATATATATTGCATAGCACAGTGGTTGGATTTTCACAATTGAAACAAATTTCCTTCAGTACTGCAACATTTAAGCTATAACAACCGAAATGGTAATATGTCTTTCTCACCAATGTTTTTTGTTGCTTTGTTCACCCATGCAACAATTTCATCCAAAGGACAGCCTTTCTCTGCTAGAGCTCCAGCTAGCTAAAAAGAAAAAATGGCATTTATTAAAAAAAAAAAAAAAAGATTAATATAGCCATGTCAAGCTCATTTTGGTACCTTATGAATGAACACAATTCCACACAAGCCTCTCCTGCCGGCCTTGCTGGGCTGAGCAAAGGCGCAGTCATCGCCCACAATCACCATGTCCGCCTGGACGCCCTGCGATCTGGCCTGTTCGACAGCTATGCCAAAGTTTAGACGGTCACCCGTGTAGTTCTTCACGATGAGCAGGACTCCTGAAGCGCCTCCCTTCCACAGAGTCAGGATGGCAGCCAGGACACTTCCCGGAGGAGGAGAGGCAAACACTGCTCCCGCCACAGCTCCGGACAGCATCCCCATGCCAATGTAACCTGAAGTAGAGTGAAAGTAGCTCAAGTACAACAATAGCACTAGCAACACCAAGTTCATAGGTTCAATACCCAGGGAATTCCCTTAAAAAAAAAAAAAGTTTTTTAAAGAAGTCGCTTATGCTCACCAAGACTGCATTTTTTGGATTGAAAATACAGTAAAACAGTAATATTGTGAAATATATTTTCAATTTAAAAGAACTTTCAAATTTGTTCATATATTATAAATATAATATAATCATTATACATGTCTTTACTGTCACTTCTGGTCAATTTAATGTGTTCTTGCTGAAATAAAAGTACAAATTTCCAACAAAAATATTTTCTTAAAGAAGAAAAAAAAAATCTTACTGACCCCAAACATTTTAAAAGTAGCCAAGTGTAAATGCTATAAAAATGGATTACCACAAACCTTACTTTAGTTATTGTTAATATTGTAAACAAATCCCCTCCAAACTGTATAAGAAACTTTCATAATCATCATCTTTGTCATTGTAATTTCTTTCTTTGTTACTGTAATGTCTAAGGACCAAACAGGAATGCATTTATGATACAATGTATAACAATTATACAGTATCATATTCCCTCTTGCTGTGCACAGGGCTTTACGTTAATGTTTTATCAGGTGACCTAAAAAGTGCATCATCTAAAAGAACCTGTTATTCAAGTCAAAAATATAATTTAAAATGTCTGATTCTAAATGACTACAACAAATTACAGCAAATGTAATTTCAATAACTAACATCCTATGTTATTCTTCTTCTTTAAAATTCAGTTACGAACATAGCACACTAGAGAAGGAACCGTTTCACACGCTTACCAGCATGTGCGGGTTCATGGCCAGATCCTCCTCCAGACAGCAGAGCTACCTTTCCCTTAATGCTCTCCAGATCGGACCGCAGCACCACTCTGTGCCCCCGCAGGAGCGCCAGACCCCCGGTACTCCTGACGAGACCCTCCAAAGCCTCGTCCACACACTTCTCAACCGAGTTCAATAATTTACTCCGCACCTGCTCCAACCGTATAAAAATAATAGATTTCAATTCAAACATTCGCATGTAACTATCAGCCAGTCACTACTGAACAGTTGTGTCGAAACCATATGCTTTGCACAATCAACATGTAAGTTAACAAGTTTGTTACAATATTCCCACTGGAGACACCGTTACATACCTCCATTACGCCTGCAATCAGTGCACAACCTTCGTCCTTTGACCACTTCCGCAAACTTGCGTGACGATGACGTCACGAGCCCCGCTCCAGACCACGAGCGCTCATCTCCAATTTATATATTTTAACTCTTTCCCCGTCATTGACGGAATTTTTCAATAATTTCCCGCTATTTATGAGACGACTATGGAAGATTGTTTCCACCACTGACACAAATAAAGATATTTTTGATGCAACCTGAGCGATTTGATGTCTGTCCTTAGATTGACTGACGCAACTAGCCTACCAATTTGAAGCTTCAAAAAGTTCATAAAGACAACATAAAACGAATCCATATGAATTGAGCGGTTTAGTCCAAATTTTCTGAAGATACACGATCACTTCATGTGATGAACAGACTGAATTTACGCTTTATGTAGCCTTACATAAACATTCAACTCATACATCAGTTGTGGTAAATGTACGGTTGTGCGAGAACCAATGAGCTTCATTCCCGTGTTGCTTCAACAAGAGGGTTGTTCCCTTTCAGCTCGGTCATGTTCAAGGTACCGTACAGGGTTGCGTTTCCCGAAAGCATCGTTAGCCAAGCTTGGTCGCAAGTTCAGTCGTTACCAAGTTGCGACCATGGTGGCTACGATGCTTTCGGGAAACGCACCCCTGATCGTGCAAGATTTTGATCTCGCGCTCCGCCTCGCAGCGCGGGTATAAGGTATAAATACAGAAGCAGATGCATTAGTCTTTCGCATCAGAGCCGATCGGTCTTCACGTTGATTGATGTCTCTGAAGAGAGTTGGTATGTTTAACAAGCGAGTGTGTCGGTGCTGTGCTTCTTCTGGAAGTCTCAGTCTTCTGGAGATCATAAGCTTCTGAGCTCTCAACTACTGTTTTAACAGCATTCTTTGTGTTTGTTTGTTTTGATGGTCAGTTAGAGGGTAAAGAAGTGAGTGCTTCACTGCTACACACTCTTAGAAGAAATGGTTCTATTTAGAACCAGAAATGGTTCTATCCCCCGCTTCATATGGAACTCCAAAATGGTTCTATACAGAACCATTTTTTTGGGTAAAAGGTTCTATTGGCCAAGTATGGAACCCCAGGGTTCTATATAGAACCCAGAGGAACCCTTTTTCAAGAGTGTATAGAACCTTTTACCAAAAAAAGGTTCTATATAGAACCATTTTGGAGTTCCAAATATGTAGCACTGATAGAACCTTTTAAGGTTCTATATAGAACCTTTTCTTCTAAGAGTGGCAGGCTGCACCATCCCCTGTCAGTTTTGCCATGGTCATTCCCCTGTGTGCTCCGGCACTGGTAAAGAGTGTTATTTCCTGAAAAAGCAACACGGGTGGGTCTGTGTCTTTTTTAAGATGCCATTCCACCGGGCGTTTCTGTGTGTGGTTGTTCCCTCTCCCCACCTGACAGTCACAATAGATGCATCACGCGTTTGGGCATTCAGCAAGCTGAAGCAGCTTTGTGGATGGCTCATATTCTCATTGCGGGAACATGACTATCTCGGTGTTGAGATTGAGACTCGCCTTCATTCGTGATGACAAAGCGGGTCGAGCTACCGAGCAATACCGAATATTGTGCAGTGCCTGGTTGTGGAAGAAGACAGTGGATGCATATGCTTCCTCTGGATTTCAATAGGACTGCATGGATAAACTTTATTTTTAATGACGTGCAGCTGATAAAAACATTGTCGTCTGTTCGCTTCATTTCACTGAGGATTGTCCTGTAAACAAGACTGGATTTACAGCCCGATTGAGACTAAAGAATGGAGCTGTGACGTCTATATTGGATCTGACAGGAATTGTGCAACACACAGACTCTGGGTCGAACATGTATGAGCGAATCATTCCGGTTGCCATTTTACAACATTGGACGTTTTCAAATCAATTTCCCCCTGGTGTATCGAGGGGTGAGTCGAAACTCATTATTATATGCAAAACTCACAGCAGTGGGCGTTTACTTCCAAATCTTCAGTGTGAGACGCTCATAAAAACCGAGCGTTTTTCAGCTGGGCTCAAAACTAGGGTACAAAATAGCCTATTACTTATTCATTTTGATGTTTTTGAATGCAAAAAGCAAGCGAACGTCATAAGTTGACCTCAGACAACAATATAATAAAATTTAAAAAGCCCGTTCATGACCCCTTTAATCCCAATAATCTCCTTTTGTGTGGATGTAATGCATGACCACTTATTCTCAAGTGTATGTTTGTAAAAACAAAAATAATAATCAAAATAATAATATGCTTATAGTAAAGTACTCATATCCACTTTTTGCTCTCTTTATTATTAAATTACAATTTACTACATAACTAAGCACATATCTAATTTACACAACAATGATGTTCTTCATTATTCATATACTTATATTGTATATTTACCAGATCATTACGGTCAAAGTGTTTACTTAATGCAAACATATGAACAAACCTAACAAAGTTATATTTGAAGAAACTTTGCAAAGGACAACATTTGTATTAAACAAAGCCCCCCACATAATGGTTAATCTTTTCTAGTGAATGGCAATTTCTTCTTCTTGGACAGAAAGAGAACAGATTGCATTACACTGCTTGGTCGCATTAGCCATAAATTGATGCCCGCTAGAAGGCACAAATTATGTAGTGACAAATTTCCATTTATAATGAAAAATTCCAGGCCATATGGAACAGAGATGCAAACTAGAATGACAGTGATAATTACAAATGCCCTCTTTTTCTGGTGGTGCATCCCTTCCTTCTGTGTTTCACCAGGACTTGGTCTCAACAGGATCTTGAGCACTCCTAGACTACAAGTAGTGATCACCAACAGGCTGATTGATAGGGAACAAGCGTAGACCTCAATTTGGGTGTCTGGACTGTAAACAGAAAGACCTCCATAAACCACACTCAGCATCCAGACCAGTCCAGCACTAATATATCTGTGCTTCACAAAGGCTGGGTTGCGGTACATCGCTGGATGAGCCACGGCTATGTAACGCTCAACACAAATCAAGCTGTTCATAAGGGGTCGTCCAACTAGGTAGCTTCCAGTAAAAAACATAGCAATGAACATTGTGTATTCACTGTCAATGTGATCAGTAACCACAATAACGCAATAAAGTACCATCACAAAAACCTCTAGTGCAGAAAGGTTCATTGTAAAGATCTCTGAGGCTGCCAGACGTCCCCTAAGTCCATTATTTCGAGAGCCCAGCCAGAGGACACAGATTTGGATGGGAAGGACAACAATGAAGTCCAGTGCTATTACAGAAAGTTGAAGTGAATACCCTGGCTCTGTGCATCGGAGCCCAAAAGAAGATGTTTGGTTGTTGGAGACAGTGCTGTTCATGTTTGTCTTCAAGTTCAAGCGTTTCTAAAAGGCATCGAGAACAACAAATAATGGAATAGTAGCAATGAAAATACATTCCAATGTAAAACAACAAAACCAAGAAACGTATTCATTAAATTACACTGACCTGATGTTGGACAGATGAGAGTGATTCCAGCGTCGTTCCTTTAGTGTCGATTCTCTCACGTTGGTTTCATCAAATATGTCACATTTATTTGCATCTGTATCTCTATGTGTGCTTTATTAAAGGAAATGTGCAAATACGGAATGAAAAGCAGCATTTTAAAGGGATAGTTCACTTTGAAATTAATTTTTGATATGTTTTATCTTACCTCGAGGGCATCCAAGATGTAGGTGTCTGTTTCCACAGTATTTTCAATTTTTAACATTTTTAGGTCAAACCGTTCTTGTCTGTCAGTCATATAATGGAGGTATATGGGGTCCACCTAAACAGAGAAGTCCAGATTAAACATGATTCAATGACTAAGTACACATTGATGGCCTAAGACACAAAACGAGCCGTTTGTGTGAGAAAACGAACAGTATTTATATTGTTTTTACCTCTTGTAACCACAACCACGTCCAAGTGATCTGAGGGTGCGGGCGCTTTGTGTCTGTGACGTACACCTACATCTCGGATGTCCTCGAGGTAAGGTAAAACATATCAAAAATTAATTTCAAAGTGAACTATCCCTTGAACAACATGTGCTCATTTGAGTTTGTTTTCACAGTTTTATATTGCAGAATTTGACTGTGAATATCATATTTACTGCTCTGATTTGTTAATGACAATATAGGATTGATGTGTATTGTGTCCATGGACATTTCAATCAAAATTTATTTGTATAGCGCTTTACAACAACCCTCAGATATCCAAAGTATTTCACATCAAGATTAAATATAAAACAACATACAATAAACAGAATCAACATGTAAAATCAGAAAATGTTGCCAAAGTAAAATATCACACCACTACTGCGTATTAAAAGCCATACTTACCAAGTAGGTTTTGAGTTTAGACCTAAAAAGTGTTACATCTGTAATTGTAAAAATACACCAGCCCATTTAGGGCCTTAAAAACAACTCGATATAAAGTGAAGATCACTGGAACTAACTAGTATTGACTCAAGTGTTACTACATGATCTAGTCATGATTTGTGCAACCAAACACTAAAGTCATTTCAAGTTTAGCCAATTTTTAATTGATTATACAACTTTGTTTTCAGCATAACAGACAAGCTTTTATACCAAATAGAGCTGCAATATTGCATATGCTCATTGTCATGTAATTCAAAATTAGTAGGTATATTATAGCGTCTCATTATTATTAACAGAATCATTACACTAATAAGCAGTTTATTTACATTCACAGAACATTAAAATTCTCAATATTTTCAAACGTTTTTACTGTGCTTCATTCGTTAAATGTACTTTATTCACATGATCTAATGCAAAATACCACTTATAGCCTACAATTAATTAAAGGAATTCCTGTTTATTAAATTGTTTATTGGGCTTTTTGCCACTTTACTTTAAAGTCAAGCAATCTTGATAGGTAAATGATAAGGAGTACCACTTTATTTTACAGTGTCTTTGTTACATCTGTTACAACTTAACATAGTAATTACAGTAAATTATGCATAATTACATGCAACAAACCCTCAACCAAATCCTACCCTAACTCTAAAGTAAGCACATGTAGTTACTTAATACTACTCAGTACTTAAATACATAATTACACTGTAATGACACCTTAAAATAAAGTGTATCCGAAGATGGTTACAAAACCCAACCTAGAACTGAAATTCATCTCTATCTGAGAGCCACTGCTCTGCATGGATGCGCTATTTATGAGGACGTGGCTTCAATATTTTGTGTTGTTTTAATAAAAACCTTTTTAATGCATGGAAACTTACCATGCTTGGACAGATAGAGAACAGGCTGTATAACACTACCTTGTTTCGATAACCATACATTGACGCCCAGCAGCACACAGAAAGCATCATGAGAAATATTACTGCTAATGTTGAAAAGTAGTATATCCAGGCCATATGGAACAGATGTGCAAACTAGAATGACAGTGATAATTACAAATGCCCTCTTTTTCTGGTGATGCATCCCTTCCTTCTGTGTTTCTCCAGGACTTGGTCTCAACAGGATCTTGAGCACTCCTAGACTACAAGTAGTGATCACCAAGATGCTGATTGCCAGGCAACAAGTGTAGACCTCAAATGGGATGCGTGGACTGGTACAAACAGAAAGTCCTCCATAAGCTAGACTCAGCATCCAGACCAGTCCAGCACTAATATATCTGTGCTTCACAAAGGCTGGGTTGCGGTACATCGCTGGATGAGCCACGGCTATGTAACGCTCAACACAAATCAAGCTGTTCATAAGGGGTTGTCCAACAATGTAGATTCCATAAAAAAACACAACAACAAGTACGGTTTCTTGACGCATGAAAGTAAAAGGAACCATACATAAAGAATAAATTATGGTCACAAAAACCTCTAGTATAGAAAGGTTCATTGTATAGATTTCTGAGGCGTCCAGACGTCCCCTAATTCTAAAGTTTCTTGAGCCCAGCCGGAGGACACAGATTTGGATGGGAAGGAGGACAAAGATGTTCAGTGCTATTACAGAAAGTTGAAGTGAATACCCTGGGATGGAGTCAGTGCATGAGACCCCAAAAGAAGATGTTTGGTTCTTGGAGACAGTGCTGTTCATGTTTCTCCTCAAGAAGTCAAGTGTCTAAAGAATGCAAAAAAACAACAAATAATGCTGAAAACACATTAGAAAACTCTAAAAACAAGACAACACCTGTTTTTCTCTGTGGTGACGATGAACAATATATAAATGTAAGCAATAACATACACTGACCTGATGTTAACCGGGCAGATAACCTTCTGAGTGGTTGTCACCTGCAGCACCTCTCACATTAGTTTCATCCCACGGCACTCATGTTTGCATTTGGATGAATTATGAAAGGAAAATATGCAAATACGGAATGAAACGCAGCATTTTAACAGCATTTTGTCAAGTTTGGGTTTGTTCATGTCATGTTCCATGTCTGTCATGTGATTCCCTGTTTGTCATTTGATCCTGCCATTTGTCTTGTCATTGGTTAATCATCTGTTCATTGTTCACAGGTGTCTCTTTTCTTGTCATTATTCTGTGTATTTAAGCTCTCATGTTTGCCATATGTCTTGGTCAAATTTTGTTACTTGTAACCTTTGTTGGGTGAGTTCATGTATTTGTTTTGAGTTCCACATTATGTTTAATTTTGTTATTGAAATAAAGCTGCACTTGGGTTCTCAAACGTTCCATGAGTGGATCCCTTTTGTGTTCATTTGAGTTTGTGATCACAGTTTAAAAATCTCAAAATAAAAAGGAAACTAATGCAACCTTTTGAATGTCATATTTAAAGGGTTAGTTCAACCCAAAATTTAAATTAGTCCATGATTTACTCACCCTCAAGTCATCCTACTGTAGGTGTACATGCCATTCTACAATCGGAGTGAAAATAAAAAATGTCCTGCTCTGACAAGCTTTATAATGGGATTGAATGGATGGAGAAAATTTGAATCATTATGAAAGTAATCCATATGCTCCAAGGGTTAATAAAGGCCTGTCACAGTGACACACTGAGTCATTACACTAAGGGATTAGGCCTAATACAGTAATGGCGCTTTTCCATTACCAGAACCAGCTCGACTCGGCTCGGCTCGCCTTGGCTTGACTCAGCTCGCGTTTTCCATTGCAAAAAGTACCGCCACAAATAGTACCCGGTCGTCATAGCGACGCCTTTCGTTCCTCGTTGCCCTATCAATCTCTCTCAGGATCCTCTCTTCGCCCACCAAAAAAAGTCTGCACCTCCCCGTTTGACCACGGTGTATTCTTCCGAGTTGCCATAATAATAATAGTAAGTTTAGTAACTATCTCAGGCCAAACTATTTAAAAATAGCGGGGTTATTCTGGATACTCCATCTGGTGCGTGTAATGATGACCAATCAACAGTCGGGATTGTTTTCACGTCACATTTTAGCATCGCTTCAGCTCGCTTAGTACCTCGCCGGAGGTGGTACAAATACAAGTACCTGAAAGCAGGTACAAGTACAACTTTTACACAGTGGAAAACCAAACAAAGGCGAGCCGAGTCGAGTCGAGCTGGTACTGTCCAGTGGAAAAGCGCCATAAGAGATCTTATTTCATCATGAAGGGCTATATTTTGAGAGAACTTTTGTTTCCGCAACCATATTTCATTCATTACTGTTATTATGATAAGTAATTCATTTTCAGGTAGAAATGACCTTTTGGGGCGACAGTGGCTCAGTGGTTCATGTAGGTTGTCTACAAACCAGAAGGTTGGTGGTTAAATCCCCGGTTCCACCTGACCAAGTGTCGAGGTGTCTGTGAGCAAGAGACCCAACCCCAGCTGCTCCCGATGAGCTGGATGGTGCCTTGCATGGCTGACACCGCCGTCGGTGTATGAATGGGTGAGTGAATGAGTGAATGTGAGGCAAATGTAAAGCGCTTTGGTGGCTGAAAAAATGCTTCCGTTTTGTAGCACTTATAAGACGACGTGCCAGCTCAGGGTGTTGACCCACCAAAGACTGTCCGATCAGAGACTAAACCGAAGGTGCAGTTACTTTCTGGGTATTGGGGATTGCCCCACTGAAAACTGGTGGACTATGCTATTGACCGCTGCAGAACTCTGGTCAAAGAGTCGGAGTCATCAGAGAGCGTTTAAGTGTTTAATGCACAAGAGTGACCATAGTGGTACATGGTAGTTTCTGAAATAAATAACATAACAGAAATGAATATTCACTCACTGAATTATTCAACAACTTAAGATATTACAAACTCAAATATAAACATCTCTGTAAAGTGCACAGATACATGAAATATATTATAAATCAAGAAATATAGGCCTATTAATATGAATCTACAATAAACTGCATAATGCAATTGAATTGACAAACACCGAATGTTATAGAAATCGACGGTCTTCATTATCACTGGCAGTACTAAATGACAATAAGTGAAAAATATTATCCACAGAGAAAATCACCTCAAAGTATTAACTTGTAAATATGAACAAACCGAGCCGCGATGCTAGCGGGATAATCTGCTCGTTAAGCAGGATCAAATTACCGTTAGAAAGATCGCTAAACATAATAAACATTATCTAACTCAGCACAGATCGTCACATTGTATTTCAACTGCACTATTAACAATATACATAGAAGGAAACTTACTTTGTCATAAACTTTCTCTTGCACATGAACGCTGTACATGAACGCGTGCACAATATGATGCTCAACTGGTGTAGCTTAGTGAATAGGCAATTACACTTAGTTCGTACGTGCTGAGAACGCTGCACTACGTTATCTGCGTACAACGCAACTTAAAACGTCACCCACGTAACCAGCTCAATTTCTAAAGGGAGAGAATTCGCAACAGCCGCCCCCACAATTGATCAGCAATTGGGTAATCAAGAGAATTCTCTAACTGTCTGTGGTGTTACCTTCTAGAGCAGGCAACTGTATCAAGCGTGCAACTGGTCTAATGTAAGCTTTACCGTCAATGACAACTTCAACAGTTCGCACACATCCATCACTGCTGGGCAATGTCTTCCGAACTCTGCCTATGGGCCACTGAGCTCTAGGGAGTTGCGGATCCACAATCAGTACAACAGAGTCGACCTCCAGGTTTTCGGAAGCTTTATGCCACTTCTGCCTTGTCTGAAGTGTAGGCAAGTAGTTTTTGGTGAACTGTATCCAGAATTGATCCGCCATGTGTTGACAGTGACGCCACCTCCGCCGCCCCATGTCTCCTGGAGCATACGCCACCTGAGGGAGAGAGGCATCCCGCCGCCCCATAAGGAGAATGTTTGGAGTAATCGGATCGATGTCGGCAACATCTGTCGATGCATATCCCAGAGGTTTTGAATTGAGAATTCCCTCCACTTCCACTAGGATTGTGGACAGAACATCCTCTGTGACTGCTTGGTTCCCAACGGCTACCTGGAGAGCATTTTTTATAGAGCGGACCTCGCGCTCCCATATTCCGCCAAAATGAGGAGCGCTGGGCGGGTTAAGCTTAAAGTCAATTTGGTGGTCTGCAAGACGGATTTGGAGTTCTGACTCCATACTGCAGAAGGCTTCCCGTAGCTCTCTTTCTGCCCCGCGGAAGTTGGTGCCACAATCAGAACGGATCTCGCGAGGTTGTCCTCTTCTGGCAATGAGCCTGCGGAGTGCAAGAAGGAAGGCATCGACATCCATCGAATTAAGAAGCTCGATGTGAACTGCCCTGGTTGTGAGGCATTTGAAGATCAGGCCCCAGCGTTTCTCATTTCTCCTTCCTATTTTGACCAGGTACGGGCCAAAGCAGTCAACACCCGTTGAATAAAAGGGTGGGCAGAGTAGACGGAGGCGTTCTGGTGGCAAATCTGCCATTTGAGGTACCTTTGGCTGCGCTCTCCAGCGCTGACAGGGCTGACAATGGAGTTGATGGTGCTTGATAGCCTGGCGTCCTCTGAGAACCCAATACTGCCTACGTATCTCAGCATAGACTCTCTCAGCTCCCGGATGTAACAGACGCTCGTCAAATTCTTGAATAAGGAGCTTTGTTACCGCGTGTCTTGGGTCCAGTACAATGGGATGAATTTGTTCTGGGTCTGAGTTTGCAAGCCTTCTTAGACGGCCCCCGACTCGTATCATGTTGGTCAGGGGGTCCCACTCTGGAGCGAGGTTAACTAATCGACTGTGTGCAGGAATACATTTCTTTGCTTTAAGGGCAGCTACCTCTTCCGGGAAGCTCTGAGCTTGACATGCCCTCAACAAGACAGCTTCCGCCTCTCTGTTAGTCATTATTTCACTGTTTGATGTGGCCGCCCCTTGACAGGCTTGTAGAGTTGCCCTTACTAACTCTCGCCAGGTCTTGAACTGTGTAACATCGGGGAGGTTGGACTCCATTCCAACTGCCATAACAGAGTAGCACATTAGGCCTTTCAATTCAGAAACTACTTCTGACGGTGCAACTTCAGGTCTTTTGGGCCAGTGCTCTGGGCTTTGTTTCAAGAATGGAGGCCCTTGACTCCACCGACTGGGCTTGGACAAACTTTGAAGGGTTTTGCCTCTCGTTATGTCGTCAGCTGGATTATCCTGCGTGTTAACATACCTCCAAGAGCTGTAGTCTGTCAATTCTTGGATCTCGGTGACTCTTGTCCCAACGAACACCTTGTACCGGCAAGAGTCTGACTGAATCCACTCTAGCACGGTCATGGAGTCTGTCCACAGAATTGTCTGACTGATGGAGAGTGTCAGCTCATCCCTCACCAGTTTGGCCAGCTGAGCTCCAGCTAAGGCAGCGCAAAGCTCCAGGCGGGGTATAGACTGCTGCCTCTTAGGAGCAACCCGTGATCTGGCCATTACAAAGGAAACATGAATGTCACCGCTGGTTTCAACGGCCAAATATGCCACTGCTCCGTACGCTCTTTCAGAGGCGTCGCAGAACACATGAAGGGAGCTGTGCTGTTCTGCTGCAGTTGTGGAGGCTGGCGTGTAACAGCGAGGAATGGAAACTGTAGAGAGTTGTTTAAGCTCGCTTTCCCAGTCAGTCCAGGTGGCCTTAAGGTTTGGCGGTAGATCTGGGTCATCCCAGTCTCTCTTTTTAGCCCACAACTGTTGGATGATCACCTTTGCTCTGGTGGTGAATGGCAATATGAACCCCAGTGGATCATATTGGGACGCCAACACCTGGTAAGCAGCTCTCATCGTCAGTTCTGCATGCTCAATGAGCCGATAATGATAGCCGAGGGTATCAGCTGCACAATTCCACCTGAGGCCTAATGTAGGTTCCATAAGGTCAACACGATTTTGCACCAACCACTGCTCTGTAGCTGATGACCGGGCTTCTGTCGGTAGATGAGCTACCACCGCTGGATGACTGCTAGCCCACTGTCTTAAGTCGAACCCTCCTTCTGCTAACATGCTGCGCAACTGGTCCACAGCTTGCTTGGCTTCTGAGACAGTAGGGAAGCTTGTCAGGCAGTTATCCACGTAGAAGCTTTGGTGGACTAGCCGTTGCAGCCCTGGATATTTGGCTTCAGAATTGCAAGCGTGATGTTGCAGAGCAAAGATGGCACAGCATGGACTGCTTGTAGTACCAAATGGCAGAACCTGCCACTCGTATACATCTGGAAAGTTTCCACTCTGCAGATCTCTCCAAATGAAACGGAGAAAGGGTCTGTCTTTCGGCAATAGACGGACCTGATGGAACATGCCCTTGATATCTGCGCTCATTGCCACAGGATGCTGTCTGAATCTCAGGAGTACTCCTAACAGCGATGGTCCAAGTGTGGGACCTGGGAGGAGCTGGTCGTTCAAGGACAGGCCATGGTATCTGAAAGAACAGTCAAACACCAGTCGATGTTTATTGTTATGACTCACAAGATGATGGGGCAGGTACCATGCCTCTGTTTGTGTCGCATCCGTCTGGTTGAGCTTGACTACGTAACCTGCCTCTATGAGCTTGGCAATCTCTCCTGAATAGATTGAGGCCTTGTCAGGGTCCTTCTGGAGTCTCCTCTCAGTGTTCCTCAGATTTGCAAGGACGGACTGCATGGAGCCCTTAAGCTCTGGAGTCCCTGGGTTCCACAGAAGAGGTGTGGCGTAACGCTGTACTCCCTTAACATTGACTCGCTCAGTTTCAGATGCAAGCAACTGCATAGCCTCTTTGTCTTGCCTAGACCGGACAACCAGTTTCTCGTTACGAAAAGGCAGCACATCCAGTTGCCATAACCTCTCCACATTTCTGTAAAGAAGATCATCTGGGTGGTCAGTGGAGATGAAGAAACACTGCTGCACTGGTTCTTGGCCTGTGATACTCATTTCTGCCCCTTGAAGTGCCCAGCCAAGAGCTGTACAGACTGCCACGGGTCCCCCTTTGCTGCCTTGACGAATAGGCTCTTTAGCAGTAATAAGATGAACTTGGTCTGAACCTATGAGCACCAGTGGACGTACCTTGTGAAAGGGCTGTAGTGGAACACCTCTTAGATGTGCATACCGTCTCTGAAGAGTCTGCACTGGGTATGACTGTTCCACCAGATCAATGCCAGAAGCCGTGAATGCTCCGAACACTTGATAGCGTTTCTCTGGTTTACCTCTTGCAGAGATTTCGAAGGTGACTTTTGAGCCATTAAGGTGAGTGGTGTCTGGACGGACTGTACGAAGTGCTAGAGTCTCAGGTTCACCTTTAAGCTGAAGCTGCTGGACAGCAGTAGGTAGGATCATGGTGCGCTGTGCTCCATCATCTAATATAGCATAAGTCTCTATTGTCTTTGCTTCGTGGTGCAACAGCACAGGCACCACTTTCAGAAAGACTCTGCCTGATGCAATGGATGGCAAAAGGTAGATGCGGCTCTCTGAGGTCGCTGATGATGTATTGGTTGCACGACTTCGGGCCACGCCATGGAGCACTTGAAGGTGAATACCACCACAGTCACTGCAGGGTTTCTTCAGATTACAGGTCTCAGGCGCATGGGAACGGGCACATTTCCAGCAGCGCTTCCCCTCTGAAATCCACTTACAAAGATCAGACACTGACTGTTCTTTAATACTACTGCATCGAGTGATGTAGTGTTCTTTACTGCCACAGAAAAGGCAGTTGACTTTGAGGGGGGTCTTCTTCCAAGAACCGGGGGATGCTGTATCCTCCATGGCTGCTGCACCATGATACAAGGCTGTACTTTGGCTTCTTGGTTTAGATGCACTCTTCTCCTTTGAACCACTGGGATCACGTTCATACTGGTAACGTTGCACTAACCTGCTAGACAATCTCTGTTGCTGAGCTTTGACGTGGAGCCACCCTGCAAAGTCTTGTAGGTTGTACGGGTTAATACTGAGGGAGTTGAGCTTCCCTTGTAGCTGGAGAAACTCTATGAAACCATCTCTTAAGTACTTTGGCAGTTTACCAACCAAACGATCCACATGCGAGCAGCAGTTCAACTCCATCCCTCTGGGTCCCTCCAAAGATAACAGCATGCTCACTAAGAGGTGAACACGGAGAGCAAAACTCTGAAAACTGCGTGCATCATTTGGTTTTACCTCTGGTGCTGTGAGGATTGCTGCTATTTCGCTCTGCGCCAGCTGATGGGGTTGGCCATATTGTAACTGAAGAGCTTGCATAGCTGCGGAGTACGGGTATGGATGATGGCGGCAGGACTGGCCAATCATTTGTGCCTCAGGCAGTTTAAGGTGTTCCAGCAAGATATGGTACTTGTATTTCTCATCTAGCTCTGCATGAGGTTCAAGAAGATTGTCTAGTGCTAACTTGAGGTTAGCGAATTCCCTTTCGTTGTCATTCACAAAATCAGGAATCTTAGGCTGGGGTGCAGCATGCAAAGGGCGATGAGGCACCAAGTATTCTGATCTCTTCAGTGGCTGGAGAGTGGATGGATGGAGGGAAGTGCCTGCAAGAGTAGGAATGTTCATGGCAGGAACTGAAGCACTGTGCAGGGTTTGAGGCACTGGTGCTAATGGAGGCATTGTCGCATAATGAGGAACTGAAAAACTGAATGCCGGTGGTGCTGCGACAGGTTGTCGTGGAGAAGATGCCACTGTTGTACAGATGTAAGGCACTCCAGGATGCTGGTAGGTTGGCGTGGGAGCTACTAGCTGTGGCTGCACCTGAGGCTGAAATGCAGTTCCCGCGTCATCATAAGGGCAGAACTGTGTATTAAGCAGTAGTGGCAAAGTGTCTGTTCTTGTAACATGTTGGTGTTGGGGCACGGAGGTAGGTAATGTACCAGATGAAAGTGGTGAGTACAAAGGGAGTGAATTGACTGGCTGTATTGGCACGAAACCAGGGTTAAAGTCCTCTGCCTCTACAGTAGGTGTGTTTACATGTATTTGTGTGGCACTCACATGTCCTTGTCCTTTGGTATGTAACTCAATGTCAGGTGACTGTGATGAACAGGAAGAATGACTTGATAAGGGGGATGGTTGAGGTGAGTTTGGGGTTGGTGTGGCAGGCTTTACACTTTGCACCTCTTCATCACCTTCTTCCATCAGGAATGATGTGATATGTTTCATCAGCTCTTTACGCCGATGCTGTCGTTTTTCATACTGCTTGAGTTTGCTTTGAAGTGCAGCCATGTCAGCAGCTTCATCTCTTTCCTTCTCAGAGATAGACTTCATTAATTCCCTCAGTGAACTCATACTTAATAAGTCTGTGGAGCTTGTAGCTGGATGCTCACCCTGGCTGGAGTCTGGTCGTGATTGACTAAATATGCCCACTGCGGCTGCTGCTCCTCTCTGCTCCACTGGCACCTCTGCTGTAGGTGAGGAGGAAAGAGCAGGTCGGTGATGGCTGTAGTCAAGGAGATACTCCTCCAGATGTTTGGGTGTGCGACGATGCCGTGAGGGTCTGCCTGACATCTCAGCATGAGGGAAAGAGGTAGATCGCTCTTCCGATGACATCACTGCAGTAGTCAATGGCTCCGGCTCGAAGGACCATATATTGGGGATTGCCCCACTGAAAACTGGTGGACTATGCTATTGACCGCTGCAGAACTCTGGTCAAAGAGTCGGAGTCATCAGAGAGCGTTTAAGTGTTTAATGCACAAGAGTGACCATAGTGGTACATGGTAGTTTCTGAAATAAATAACATAACAGAAATGAATATTCACTCACTGAATTATTCAACAACTTAAGATATTACAAACTCAAATATAAACATCTCTGTAAAGTGCACAGATACATGAAATATATTATAAATCAAGAAATATAGGCCTATTAATATGAATCTACAATAAACTGCATAATGCAATTGAATTGACAAACACCGAATGTTATAGAAATCGACGGTCTTCATTATCACTGGCAGTACTAAATGACAATAAGTGAAAAATATTATCCACAGAGAAAATCACCTCAAAGTATTAACTTGTAAATATGAACAAACCGAGCCGCGATGCTAGCGGGATAATCTGCTCGTTAAGCAGGATCAAATTACCGTTAGAAAGATCGCTAAACATAATAAACATTATCTAACTCAGCACAGATCGTCACATTGTATTTCAACTGCACTATTAACAATATACATAGAAGGAAACTTACTTTGTCATAAACTTTCTCTTGCACATGAACGCTGTACATGAACGCGTGCACAATATGATGCTCAACTGGTGTAGCTTAGTGAATAGGCAATTACACTTAGTTCGTACGTGCTGAGAACGCTGCACTACGTTATCTGCGTACAACGCAACTTAAAACGTCACCCACGTAACCAGCTCAATTTCTAAAGGGAGAGAATTCGCAACACTGGGAATAACCCATTTATTCTCAAAACTCAAAAGATTGGCTTGTATGGTTGTGAATCGTGAGGGTGTTGGACCTCGATACATCAGTTCTGGTTCAGGGGGAGGTGATGACGTAAGTGACCAGTATGGCCTTTGTGGATGCCTTGCAGTATCTTGAGAGACCCAGTCTGGAGGATTTAGTTATTCCTTTCTGTGGGAGTGATGTGCCTCTGATCTATGAAGTCTTTGTGGCCTAAAATGGTAAGAATTGCTCTGTTTAGTATTCGAGGTCAATGCTGGAGTTGGGTGGTGTGGAGGACTTTGCAACTTATCCTCGATTACAAAACAAATTGGATCGAAAGATTAAGTGAATTTGTCCATTTCCATCTGTTTGTAAGTTGAAGTAATCACGCCGGTTTGGAGACGAGTAGTTGAGGATCAATGCCAATGGCTGTCGTGTCGATGAGGCCGGCACTTAAGGATGAGTCGGGATTTGTCCATGAAATATACAGCTAAGTATCATCAGCACAACAGTGAAAGCTAATTCCATGTTTCCAAATGACATCTCCTAGTACAGAGTGAATAGCAGCGGTCCTAGTACTGAGCCTTGTGGTACACCATACCGAACTTGTGATCGATAAGACATCTCTTCATTTACTGCTACAAACTGATAACGGTCAGATAAGTATGATTTAAACCATGCTAATGCAGTCCCACAAATGCCAACATAGTTTTCTAGTCTATTTAAAAGAATGTTGTGGTCAATTGTGTCAAATGCAGCACTAAGATCGAGTAACACTAATAGAGAGATACAACCACGATTGGTTGATAAGAGCAGATCTTTTGTGACTCTAATGAGACCTGTCTCGGTACTATGATGTGGTCTAAATCCTGATTGAAAATCCTCGAAGATATCATTTCTTTTAAGAAAGGAACACAGTTGTGAGGATACTGCTTTTTCCAGTATCTTTGACAGAAAAGGCAGATTCGAGATTGGCCTGTAATGAACTAATTCTGTAGGATCAAGTTGCGTTTTTTAACAAGCGGTTTTATCATAGCTAGCTTATAGGTTTTTGGTAGTATCCTAGCGACAAAGACAAATTAATGATATTAAGAAGAGGATCTATGACCTCCGGAAGCATCTCTTTCAGTAGTTTAGCCGGTATAGCGTCTAGCATACAAGTTGTTGATTTAGATGAATTAACGAGTTTGCAAAATTCTTCCTCTCCTATAGCAGCAAATGAACCAAATCGTTCCACTGGGAGACAACAACGCACCCCCTGATGCGATACTGTAGTAGACAGTTGCATAGTTATAATTTTGTCCCTGGTATTATCAATCTTATAAGTGAAGAAATTCATAAAGTCATTACTGCTGTGTTGCTTAGACATTTCTGGGCTTGAATCTTCCTATTTTGTTAGTTTAGTCACTGTATCAAATAGATACCTAGGATTATGTTTATTTTCTTCTAGGTTTGAAAAATAAGCTGGCCTAGCAGCCTAGAAGGCCTCTCTGTATGCAATCGAGCTCTCCTTCCATGAAATACGAAATACCTCTAGTTTAGTTTTTTTCTTCCAGCTACGCTCCATTTTTTCTGGCTGCTCCCTTAAGGGCCTGAGTGTGCTCGTTGTATCACGGCATTGGACTATTTTCTTTAATCTAGCGCAACGGAGCAACTTTCTGTCACGATATCAAGTTCTTCTAAGCTACCCGGGATGCTGAGATGATGAAACTGATTAGGAAGATTATTGATAAAGCAATCTTTAGTGGCAGAAGTTATACGTCTAACATATCTATAACACGGAATCGGCTTTGCTGCTTTGGCTAAGTGAAGTTTACATGAGACTAGATAGTGATCTGAGATGTCATCGCTCTGCTGCAGAATTTCAATGGCATCAACATCTATTCCATGTGTAGAGTATGATTACAACAATGAGTGGGTCCACATGTTGTCTAATTCCAATTTAGTTTATAATGCCTTTAAATGCCAATCCCAATGTATATTTTTCATTATCTACATGTATATTAAAGTCACCAACTATTAGTGCTTAATCTGCAGCCAGGACCAATTCTGATAGAAAGTCCGCAAATTCTTTGGTGAAATCTTTATGGTGCCCTGGTGGCCTGTATACAGTAGCCAGCGACGTGATTTATCATTTGCACTATATATTTTTACATTAAGCACCAATACTTCAAAAGAAGTATAACTAAAACTAGATTTCTTAGTGGTTTTGAGGATATTACTATAAATTACAGCAACACCTCCCCCTTTGCCTTTCAGACGAGGTTCATGTTTATAACTGTAATCTTGCGGGGTGGACTCATTTCAAGTAATGTAATCGTTTGTTTTTAGCCAGGTTTCTGTCAAACACAGCACATCTAGATTATAATCTGAAATCATATCATTAACTATGAGCGATTTTGAAGTAAGGGATCTAATATTCAACAACCCAAGCTTTATCATTTGCTCATCTGTATTATAATAATATACTTACAGTAAAGTACTCATATCCACTTTTTCCTCTTTTTATTATTAAATTACATTTTACTACATCAGCTATATAACTAAGCACATATCTAATTTACACAACATTGATATTCTTCATTAGTCATATATATATATATATATATATATATATATTGTATATATATTTACCAGATCATTACGGTCAAAGTGTTTACTTAATGCAAACAAATGAACAAAACTAACAAAGTTATATTTAAAGAAACTTTGCAAAGGACAACATTTGTATTAAACAAAGCCCCCCACATTTTGGTTGTTTTTTTTAGTGAATGGCAATTTCTTTTTCTTGGACAGAAATAGAACAGATTGCATTACACTGCTTGGTCGCATTAGCCATAAATTGATGCCCCCTAGCAGGCAAAAATCAAATATTGACACATTTTTTTATTTATAGTAACGTATAGGTAAAATTCCAGGCCATATGGAACAGAGATGCAAACTAGAACGCCAGTGATAATTACAAATGCCCTCTTTTTCTGGTGGTGCATCCCTTCCTTCTGTGTTTCACCAGGACTTGGTCTCAACAGAATCTTGAGCACTCCTAGACTACAAGTAGTGATCACCAACAGGCTGATTGTAAGGGAACAAGCGTAGACCTCAATTTGGGTGCGTAGACTCCAAACAGAAAGACCTCCATAAGCTAGACTCAGCATCCAGACCAGTCCAGCACTAATATATCTGTTCTTCACAAAGGCTGGGTTGCGGTACATCGCTGGATGAGCCACGGCTATGTAACGCTCAACACAAATCAAGCTGTTCATAAGGGGTCGTCCAACCAGGTAGCTTCCAGAAAATAACATAACAATGAACATTGTGTGTTCATAGTCTATGTGATGGATAACCACAGTAACGCAATAAAGTACCATCACAAAAACCTCTAGTGCAGAAAGGTTCATTGTAAAGATTTCTGAGGCTGCCAGACGTCCCCTAAGTCCACTATTACTTGAGCCCAGCCAGAGGACACAGATTTGGATGGGAATGACAACAATGAAGTCCAGTGCTATTACAGAAAGTTGAAGTGAATACCCTGGCTCTGTGCATGTGATCCCAAAAGAAGATGTTTGGTTGTTGGAGACAGTGCTGTTCATGTTTCTCTTCAAGTTCAAGCGTTTCTAAAAGGCATCGAGAACAACAAATAATGGAATAGTAGCAATGAAAATACATTCCAATGTAAAACAACAAAACCAAGAAACGTATTCATTAAATTACACTGACCTGATGTTGGACAGATGAGAGTGATTCCAGCGTCGTTCCTTCAGTGTCGATTCTCTCACGTTGGTTTAATCAAATATGTCACATTTTTTTGCATCTGTATCTGCTTTATGAAAGGAAAAAATGCAAATATTGAATGAAAAGCAGCATTTTAACATGTGTTCATTTGAGTTTGTGTTCACAGTTTTATATTGCAGAATTTGACTGTGAATATCATATTTACTGCTCTGATTTGTTAATGACAATAGGATTGATGGGTATTGTGTCCATGGACATTTCAATCAACATTTATTTGTATAGCGCTTTACAACAACCCTCAGATATACAAAGTATTTCACATCAAAGATTAAATATAAAACAACATACCATAAACAGAATAAACATGTAAAAAATCTGAAAATGTTGCATAGACAGACAAAGGAAGATGTCACACCATACTGCGTATTAAAAGCCATTCTATAGGTTTTGAGTTTAGACCTAATAAGTGTTACATCTAATTGTGTGAATATCAGTGGTAAGAGTCTCGGGGCAGCAACTGCAAAAGCCTGTTCACCCCATCGTTTAGATCTTGACCTTGGGACTTCTAAAACTAGATGGTGTGAAGACCAACTCACGCAGGGTCAAAATCTCGGACAAATACCAGCCCATTTAGGGCCTTAAAAACAAACAATAACACCTTAAACTGGATTCTAAAAGACAAAGGGAGCCAATGTAAGGTGTAGAGGATGGTAGTGATGTGTGCACCCTTACGAAAAAGAAGTTTATTCAAGTGTGCCATTAGTATACTTCTTTTAAACTAAAGACAGTATACTTTCAGTTTATTTTTCCTGTACTTCTCAGAAGTATACTATATGTACTTCTCAGAAATATACTTCAAATTACACTTAAGTGTACTTGACTTATACTGAGAGAAAAGCAAGTATATTTGTCCTGTTCTTGTACTCAATCTTTTGATCCAGAAATACTTAAAAGTATAATTAAGTATTCAAAGTATACTTGTATAAGTATTACAGTAAAAAAGTAAACTAGTACACCCATAAATTCACTTGCAGTACACATGAGATACATAATTATGAACTAGTTGTGCACTTACTGTTACACTTATAGTACACTTAAACATATACTTTTATGTACTAAAAGTGGGCCAATTTAGTCCCAAGCGGTATTAAAATAGTACACTTACAAGTTTACTACTAGTACATAGTGACATTAGTATACTTACTACATAATGTATACTTAAAAATATACTTGAACATTACTTAAGTATACTACATAAA